ACACAGGAATGCGGGTGGGTGTAGGTCTCGGGGATGACCCATCCTGTCCTGTCTGCAAAAGAAAGAGACAGAGAAATTTCATGAATTTCTTTTCATATGTGCTCATCTTACACTTTCCATTGGTTCTTCATTTACCTCTCAAGCAGCTATGTCCCAAATCATGCCTATTAGCAAATTAGTGTCACATTTGGAACCTGGCCATAGCACATACTGGTAGAATAGGGCCAAAGTTGGGATCAGATGAGTTTCCCAGAGCTGAGGTCTGGTGTTTTGAATCAAGATGTCATAGGGATGGGAATCCCTGGAAAAGTCCTATTCCACAGCATGACACAGTGTAGGATGACCTTGGAGGCTACTGAAACACTGGTTTAGCTTCCAGGCAGCTGTCAGACAGATATTAGCATCTTGCACAGAGACTAGCACAGGCTCTCAAAACAGGATAGCTATGTGAGGCTAATGCTGAATCCAGAGTAACTGCCACATTTTCAGAGCTGGGGCAAGCTTTCTCAGCATTATAGATAAACTTTGCTTCCAAAAGTGTGCTGGAGCCACTTATTTCTGTGCTGGGAAGTGCACGGGGCTGGGAGACAGAGAGAAAGCAAAGATACAGATTTCCTTTTGCTGTGGCTGTGGCAGGAGGGCTGTGGGAGAGGGCTCTCCTCCTCTGAGCCATAGCCGCAACTTGATGAACTCTGGTGAGGGTGAAGCAGGCAGCTCAGATTTCCTGGGATGCCTCAAGGCAGTGCGGGACAGGGTCATTTTACTATCTCTGCTGGTCTACTGCCCTGGACAACAGCCTAGCAAGCACATTTATGCTCAAGTTTGAGGATTTGGGAACAAAAAAACAAAAAAAAAAAATCCTAAGTGGTTGAGGACTCAAGCATGGACTGGCAGACCCAACACGGCTCCTACAAGGGATTTGTGCCCTTCTGGAGCACCAGCCAGAGGCCAGGCCAGTATCCTACAGCTTTGAAAATGTAAGCAGTACATACACTTAGGCAACTGAATCCTACTGTGTAAACGCAGGAGAACTTGGATAGGACAAAAAAATTCAAAAGAGTCAATGGACATTTTCTGTCTCTATTTGCCAGATACTCTTATACATACTCTGCAAGGCCAAAACTGGAAGCTACCGCTAAAGAAACTACCAGAAGCTGTGATTTAAGGAAAATACAACCATGACAATTCAGAAAGGAAAATGTGTTTTATCTTCTGCAGTGTGTAATATGGACACAAATGTCAGTGTTGACAACTTCAGTGTCTCGGCTGAATTTCATATGTGACTTTTTTCTGTTCATAAAATGGATGAAGACTTTGATCTCACAAAAGAGAATGCTTCTCTCAAGATCCTGGAATCCTAGCTAGACCCATCTGCTAAATGGCTAAATTCTGCAATTTACAGCATGTAAGCAAAATAAAACTAAACTGCTGAAATAGATTGGATTAGGGGATCGCAGAAACTACAACATGTATTTGCATTTACTTAAAAATGCTTTTAAAAAATGGTCCACGAAGGAGCATTTTTCTCTCTTGAAGGATTTCCAGCCAGTAGCATCAGAGCCTTCTGTCTGCATCCTGAGTATTCAAAGGAAAACCATTCCTTAATCTTCTAAGAACAGTTCAAAACCCCATGTGTACACAAAAAAAATCACAATTGGAAAACTTGAATGCTGTCTGCCTGGCAGGAAGGAAGCCATTTTCAATAACTAAAAGCAACATTTACAATAGCAGTCTAAAGGCTAATATGGAACTCACATGTAGATGTCAAAACAAGTTAGGCCCATACAATTCTGTAGGGCAAAACATGCAAATGCATTCCATCAGCCTCGGAAAATATGTCAACATCCCAGGGAACCCAAATGACAAACATCTTGTACTCCTTGAAAGAGCTCCACAGTGTGTAAACATGAGGCAATCAAATGAAGTAGCTGGAATCTCAGGCATTTCTTCAGCTTTATTCACATGTAAATTATTAACTAAGGATTTGGGCGCTTTCAAGTTACTCATTTCAAGCCTAAATCACTCAGAAGCACTTTGAAAAGAACTCTAACTTGCTTTAAATTTCTTAGTTGCCTTCCTTACAGCATACTAACCTGTTGATAGTATGAAGCTAATGCCTACTTCACCCACAGCTGCGAAGGAATTTTGTGTTTGCTAAGTGAAATGGCACAAAGGTGGCTCTTCACCAAGCAGTCCCCTTTGGTGAGCGTGACGGGGTGAGCAAGCAGAGGACACTCTCCGATACCCATCTGTAGTGTCTGTGGCAGAGAACCCACGCGACTGTCTGTCCCTTGGTCATTTCCTCCAAGAACCAAGCTCTGAGCAATTCCCTCCAGCCCTGTTTGCAGGCTGCTGTCTTCTGGTTGATACAGGAATGCGGTGCCAACCAGAAACCAACTCTTGGGCAGCCGGCATGGAGCACGCAAGCCGTGGGCCTGTGGGACACGGAGTGATGCTGCCTGGCTCCGAGCTGGCAGGACAGGGTGCTGGAACAGCACAGCAGGCCAGAGCGAGGTGAGTAAATACATGACTGAGAGTGCGAGAAATACACGCAGCCGCTAAGCTGCTTAGGTCGATAACCAGTGCTCACTGCAGGCACTGGCAGGTCTATTAAACTGTGTTACAGTAAGGTTGGACAGTCCCATTTAAGGAAAAAGAGCAATTTGAATGCACAGAATATTTAGCATGTTTTAGTGGTTTGTAACAGATCCTGCTTAGTGCATTTTATTGACACACACAAAGAGTGCTTTCATGTGCACGTTCACTTTTGGAATATTTTAATAACAAAGGTGCTTTTTCAGCACTTGTTCCTGATCAGATCAGGGACCAGCTTGCCCTGGACCAAAATGGTTCAGTTCAGTGGCTGACACAGATAGCTAGTGCAATTTGAGATGCCCTGGGTTACTCAAGCTATCTGCACAGGGCTGGTAGATAAGACTGAGGACCCAAGAAGACCTGAAACCTCTGATAAAGCAGCTGGAAGTTAGGTAGGCTACTTGACAGCACTTAAAATGACACTAAATAAGTACATTTAGGCAACTTAATCCTGAGAGGGTGGGACTTGAGATCTAGTCAATACAGTCAGTGGAGCCGAGTGGGCAGTTCAGCTCACGCTGAAGCTAGAGGTGTCTCAGCTGAATCACCCTCCCGTCTCCACAGAGCCAGCACAGAGGGCTCAGGGCTGGCAAGGGGACAGATGACCAGGGACTGACTCCGTTGCCTACACTGAGGCATCTTGTGCCATCTGAGGTATCCCGTCAGCTTCCACTGCAGAGAGCTACAGGCCCGTGTTATACCTACAGGCCTCATGCACTGTGTTTTAACAGCCACAGCACATGCAAATAGCACCATGCACCTCTATTTGGGCAAGAGAGCTGACCCCTGGATCTCTACTAACTCTAACAGAAGCTTAGGGCATATATGGGACACCTACTAAGAGCTAAATTTAGATGCTGATCTCAAACTAAATGCTGCCCAAATGAAAGTAACCTTATAGTTGCTTAGATGTGTGCCCGGTTAGCTCTGACACACAACAGCCTTTCAGCCATGCCTTGCTGCCTCGGTCACAGGACACTTGGCATGGCTGGTGCCGTGTCACTATGCTGGCTCTGCTGCAGCTGGGATTCCCTCTGCTCCCTGCAGATGTGCATGTCACCAGATCTGCTGTGTACCCTGGCAGCATAAACAGCTGGTGCTGTATGCCAGGCTTGGAGGAGGTGGGGAGCACAGGGATGAAGTGATTATTGGACTGACACCCATCCTGGTAGCAAAAGAAGATCCAAATTCATCAGCAATCCTACAGCCAAATGTAAGGCCTAAATCAAAAAACAAGATATAGGCATCACAACTGGAGTTTTTTCCAAAGAATATTTGTTTATATTCTGTGGGTTTTTTTACTGTAAACTATACGAACTGTCCCAGGAACAGGGACTTGGGGCTAATGTGCTAAGGCAAGACTAAGGACCAGCCTACAGTTTCAGGCTGGTTTTGGTCTGCATAGCCTCTGGTCTCAGAGTCTTGAATTTTTGGTTGTGCTGTGGTCCATCTGTAATAAAAAACTTATCCGCTAGGTCTGCTAGGGTAGTCCAGGTATTTTCCTGGGAGTGGGTTTGACTCAAACCAAGCAAAGGAGGACTGAAGCCCATTTTTTCCACTTGTGTGGTAATTACCCAAATCCATAGCCTATCATATAAAGGGAGTTACCAGCTTAGGGTTTGGTTCTTTTTTTTTTAATCAAAGTGGCAATGGTTCTCTTAAAGGCTGAATTCAATCCAGCTGGTCAAACAGTCTCCATCACATCGGCTCCTGCCATGGAGATCCCTGTGGGACTGGGCTGTGGTGGGTGGCAGTGCTGGTGTGACAAGGCCAGCCACTCAGCTGGCCAGCCCTGGGCTTGTGCAGCAGGCAGAACATGAGGTGCCTCCAAACCATTTGGGTTCAGTGAGTTCAAGGGCCAGCGGAGACACAGTCACTGGCCGGTGCCCGTTTTGGTTCAGTGCTCAAAAATTTCCCAAGCTCTCCTTCAGGTGCCTGTGTCTTTCTTTGGATCAGGGTCTCACTTCATCTAGATCAGAACAGTTGCAGACTCAGAAGAGCATTTGGATCAGGGAAATACAAATCTCTAGCTACTCTAGAGAGTATGTGAGTGTAAATCAACACAACCATAACACCCCTTAATCCATGAGACTCATGGGATTCAAAAATCATCATGGCCCATTATGAAACCACAGTCTCTGGTTTTGGACTCACATATCCAGGGAGACATCACAGTTCAGGCTGACACTTTAAAAGTACCCAATGTTCACCTTAAAATTAACTTCACCTGCAGTACTGAAGATAACTCTATAAATTCAAATTGGAAAAAGATTTTAACGTTTTCAAATATGAAAACAGTAAGTGTAAATTTGTTACAGCAACAGATGAGAGCTCGGGATTTCAGAATTATTTTTCCCTTTGTAGCTTGGCACTGCTTAGTACGTTGTAACAGCATCTTCTGTGAGGAGAGTGAAGAAAAAAATTGAAACCGGTGAGCTAAGAAGGCAGCTGTGTATCAGTTTGTCTTCTTTGATTTTATGAACTTAAACCCTCAAAATTATATTGATGGTGGTTTATTCTAGTGTTACTGAGTAAATGATCACAACTTCTTTTTCTGACGAGGGGTATTGAAATGTGTTTGTAAAGTAGTCATTTGCAAAACAGATGGTGAACATACAACTTCTATCTTTTTTTTCTGGGGGTTTGGGAGGAAAAGGCACATTTGAGCTTGTTCAGAGTTCCCTGCTCATCTGACTAGAGACCTTAAAAAACAAAGGGAAGCATAAGATAAAGTAAATCTTATGGTTGAACTATTTTCCTTACATTCCAAATCAGGGAGGATGAAGTGAAGAAAGAAGACACTTTTTAGCTAGATCAAAACAAAACAAAAAAGTTGTGTCTGCTACGGTTCAGTGCATCATCACAGTAGAGACAGACATCTAGTAAAAAAGAATGAGGAACTCTTAAAAAAAAAAAAAGTTTTCCAAGCTTCTGAGAGACAAAGGAGCTTGGAAATTAATTGATTCAAGACTTTTTAAAAAATGAACAGTTGCCTCTAATATGTAGGAAAACACTGTATTGTAAAGTAACTATAATACGTTATATATGTGGGAGAGAGAGAGCACATGTGCAATCCCAAATAGATCCGTGTGATGAACACAAGTTTTCTTCAGTCAGAGGGCTAAAATGGGAAGAGCAGCCTCTCTCCAAAAGTGTGGAAGCGTATCTTAAATCCATTTTGACATTTCAGCTTGGAAAGAGATGGCTGAAGAGCCGTGTTGTAGGGATCTGCAGACTCCTGAGTGGCACGGACAAATGAACAGGGATGACTATTCAGTATTTGTCCAGATAAAAGAAAGAGGCTGTAACCAATGAAGGTATTGCATAAAAGGTATCAAACAAAAGAGCATTTTTCCCAGAGCCCGCAGCTGAATTCACTGCCCCCTGATGTTGTGGAAACAACAGTATAAATGAGTTCAAAAAGCAATTAGAAGAATAAATAAAAGAAAACTCTGCCATGGTCTATTAAACACAAAGATGTGGCTACAGGCCCTGGTTCAGAAATACCTACCTATTGCCAAAAACTGGGAACAGACGCTGAAAATAATCTTCCCCTAAGCATCTGCTACAGGCTCTGTCTAGCTAAATAAGCTTTTGGACTAATACAGTGCTGCTGGTTTTCTATTTTGGTTAAATTCTTTCCCAGGGTATTTCTGACTAAAGCAATGCAAAACCACATCCAATAATAAACCTAGAGGGAGGACTATCAATAAATATTGTCCAATATGTTTAAGGACAGAAGTAAGAGACTGATTTAAGTATGAAACAGAAGCCAGAGTACCACCACAGAGGCACAGAGAGAAAGCAGCAAAAAACATGTTAGAGGAAGCACTACTGTAGTACAGCACTTATAGGAGCTGAGAATTTCAAAGGAACAGAAAGAGCTTTACTATTCACATACTTGGAGCTGTAAGCAATGATACCATGTCTGCCTATTTATTCCTTTGGAGTTCACTATCATAGCAGATACTAATTGAATTTTAACTATAATGGGATTATACCAAAGAAATACCAGCCTGCATGATCAGACTCTAAAGACTTGCCAGCTAGGCCAAAAATCATTATGAATATTTTCAGAAGTCAGAAATTGTTCTCACCAACAATAAAAATACGGTTTCTTGATCTGTGATTTCCATCATTCCTTGTCCGTCTCTCTCTCTCACTTGCAATTTTACAGGACTGCCATTATGAAAATAACTTTAAAGGAACTTTGAAGGGACTTCCTTAGAAAGTTATTCCTTTGAGAAATAATGCCAAAGGTACAGCAGTGTCCAACACTGGTACAAAAATATATGAATCAGGCAAATTCTGATTTTATAGTTAAGCTTGTACCTGAAACAAATGCAGGGAAGCCAAGAGTTTCTCCTCATGCCACCCATTTTCTGTGGTGGTGTCTCAAATCCAAACTACGGTTGCCCTTCTCCTTACCATGAAGACTACACCATGAGACTATGCTGCTTACCACTGATTGTGTTCCTCGAGTGGAAGACGTTGTAGCAGGCGTTATAGTGATAGTGCTTGTCACCTTGCTTGCTGCAGGTCGCGAGGACAGGTTGTTCCGGGGTGATCGAAGGACGGTACCAGTCACAACTTCTTTCTCTGCTGCTATGTTCATCGGTCTGACTGTTATCACAGGACTTGCACCATCAGGTACAGCACTGGGAGAGCGTTTAAACTGGGAACCTAAGTGGATGTGGATTTTGTTGTCTTCTGTTGTAATAATGTTGGCGTTGGCATTGTACTTGCGGATTGGAGTTGGGACGGTTTGTTTTTCTGGTGTTACTTTGAAGACAGCCCTTCCCATGGTCATATCCTGTGACTGCGGAGAGACAGAGATTTCTGCTGGTGCTGCGGATGTTGATACTGTCATAATCTGAATTGGCGATGCAGGTCTGTCAGAGAAAGGTGCTCTCCCTCCCTCTGGGGACTTTTCCCTGGAGAATGTTGTTATAGTGACTGGAGACATAGAACGATCTGGGCCCATGGGACTTTCACTACCTTTTCCTTTTTGTGGCATAACGTTTGGAGAAGGAATGATGGTTATTCGTGGCTTCTGATTTCCCAAAGTAGGAATGACAGTGGTACTTGAAAAAAATTCCTCTGAGGTTGGACTGGTTATCTCCAAAGTAGCTGTGCTGTTCTCATGGTCTGGTGTCACCCGAATATGAAGAGGCTGACCCTGCTTTGGTGAAAGGACAACCTCTCCGGGATGTGCTGGACTACTGTGCGTTCGGGCTCCTTTATCAGGAGTTGTCTGAGCCCCAGTTTCCCTCTTTCTTATCCATGGTATCCAAGATTTCCTCATTGCAAGTTCATTTGCTGCTGGAGGATATCTCTCGAGCACTGAAGAACGCTCCATGGGTTTTTTCAGACCTACCTGTCGCAGATTGCTCATGATGTGATTCTCCTCCTGGAAGGATTTCCTTATAAACACTGCTGGAGTTTCTTCTTCTGCTGCTTCACTGCTTACAGCATCTGTTTGCACGCCAGTGGATGTCACGGGAACATCGACCATTCTTCGTCCATTTATGCTAGGCCTCAGTGCACGGCTGTAACGCTTAGAAAGCTCCAGCTCTCTTGTTAGGTTCAGAACTTCCTGCCCCATGCTCTTGTTTTTATTTTCTTCTTCCATAAACCTTTGCTGCAGAACCGAATAATCGACTTGGAGCTGAGAAAGCTGGTCTTCTTTATTCATCAGCTCATGGATTTTTTCCTTAAGAGCTTGAACTTCTGCTTTCAAATCTCTGCTTTTGGCCTCTTCCAGACGAAACCTGTGCCTCAGCTCTGCCTCCTGGCTCACTGCTTCACCTTTTTCTATTGCTTTGGTTTTGGCAATCTGGAGTTTCATCTCCTCCAGCTGTTGAGAAAGAAAGTTAGCTTTATCCTGCTCCGTTCTAAATTTCTGCTCTAGCTGATCATATTCATCTTCTGTCTTCATCAAATCTCCTTCAACCACTTCCAATTGTTTGAGACGTTTTTTCAGTCTTTCAATTTCAACAGTAAGTTCTTTAATCTTGTTGTCCTCGTGACAACCATGCTCTGGTCCTTTCCTGGTTCGACCTCTTGTAATTTCTCTTTCTACTTCCTCCATACCATCAATTCTTTTCTTTAACAGGTCAACTCTACAGCTTAGTTCAGAGGATTTTTCTTCTTCATTTCTCAGTTTGCCAATTAACTCATCCCTTTCCTTTGTCAAACTGGACACTTTTTCCTCCATTTCAGACTTCAGTTTCAAGAATTTCTTACTTTCTTCTATCAGTTTCTCTGTTACATCCATAACTTTCCCTTGTTCAACTTTAAAATTCTTGTTTAGACACTCAACCTTTTTTTCCTCCTGCTTTATTTTTTCCATCATATTTTTTCGTTCATCAACCAACATTACAGTAAATGACTTCAACTTTGTAAGGTCATCTTTTAAGCTTAGTTCAGCCTTTTCCAACTTGTTTTCTGATGCCTCAAGGTCTTTCACTCGAGTCTTCACCACTTCCAACTCATTTATCAAATCCTTAGTCAAGTTCTTTTCTTTCTCCAAGTTTAAGTGTAACTGGGTGCATTCAGACTTACTTTTACTGAAAGCCTCTTCCAACTTCTCTAGTTCTGACATTCTTTTCTGCAATTTTTCCACTTCAAGTTTCAACTCTTTGCTATGGTGCTCTTCCTCTTGCAGTTTATTTTTCAGCTCTTTACACTGGGACTCGGTTTTTGTGATCTCTTCATCTTTCCCCTCCATTTCAAGCACACGCTTGCGGAGGTTTTCCACTTCTGCCATTAAGCTAGAGTTCCCACATTCCCCTTTCGCTATTTTGTCTCTTAGTTCTTGAAGTTCCTCCTCAGCTTTTTGAAGATTTTTGTTCGTTTCTTCTAGCTCCTCTATTCTGCGAGTCAACCCCACTAGCTTAAGCCTTAACTGTCTATTATGTGACTCTTGATTAGCCAGTTTAGCAGTCATCTCCTCATGTTCTTGAGACAATGATGATGTTTTGTGTTCAAGTTCTGCCTCTAACTTCATCAGTTTTTGTCCATCTTCTTTTGTTTTTGCACTAATAATTTTAAGCTTCTCTTCTTCTTCCTTTAGTTTGTGGTTTAAGTCCTGTATTTTCTGGCTTTGTTGACCAAGTTGTTCAATATGCATTTGTCTTTCATCCACCAGCATGAGTGCAAATGATTTGAGCTTAACTAGTTCTTCTCTTAGTTTATTGAGTCTCTTTGTATGTTCCTTCTCCTTCCGGGCTTGATAGATCTTCTCCTGCTCAAGAAGTTTCTTCAACCTGAAACAATTTAGAAGACGTGTTAAACTGAAAAATACTATATATATATATATGTGTGTGTGTGTGTATTTCTCCATTTTTTAAACTGCCTTCATTTTATCAATCATTTTTTCCATTAATAACCTATGTAGTGTTCCAAGAAATGCT